TTTTTAACTGTCAGCTGTGGACATGTGGAATTTTTGATCTGTTTTCCGCTTTTCGGCTTAGAGTACTCATATTTTTTTGTAGTTTTCACGAATGCAATGTTGACAAGTGGGCGTGTTCCGATATGGGAAAAATAAGAGTAGAGAGTAGAGAACTGGAGCGGAGCTAATTGTGAGAATCGGGCAAGTTGTTCCAGGGGAAATCTGATAAAAACCAACCAAAAACACATGTTGCCAACCTTTTTTTCCTGCATTTTTTCGTTGTTTTCTGTATTTTGTTTTTTTTTTTTTTAATGTGAAACCGAAGACTTATATTAGCAAGGAATGGCACTGGGAATTATCTAATGTGCGGATGATGGATGATAAGCCGACAAAATAGCTCGACACTCTCGCACTTCCTGTGATCCCTCATCCCATCGCATCTCCCGTTTCATCAATGGAAACTATTATTGCAGCGTGGGAGCTGCAGGATCCCATCGAGGATGCGAACAGGTATTGCTCCTGTGGCGGCACCCATGAATGAAGGAGATTCGTCTGACACACGATACCACTTCAAATGCCAGCAAAAGCGAGCAGAAAACAGGAGCAAAATAGTATAAGAGAATATAAAATGAGGAGCAAGAAAAAGGGAACCCGGGAAAAACAGGAGACGGGAGACAGGAGACACTCGGGTGCAGAAAAAGGATAATAACGAGGCTAATAGACGGTATCGAATTTAACTCTAGCAGATAATCATCTCGGGCAACGTAATTGTCTAAGGATACTTGACGCTCGGCCGGCAAGTGTCCTCCGCCGAGGTTAAGGAACTCCCAGCTCAACTCAACTCTTTGTGTATCCTTTCAGGTTTTCGGGCTTTGGGTTCTGGGTTCTGGGCTTGAGTTCGGGTTCGGGTTCGGGTTCGGGTCCTTTGTCCTCTGGCCTTGCGTGTCCTTCGGCTCCGCGTCCTCATCCTCGTCCTCATCCTCGTACTCGTCCTCTTCCTGCCAGTTGGCTGCAATGAACCGAGCAGATCCAATCTGACGTAATTAAATGCAACTATCTGCCATCGATGGAGGCGCAGCTAGCAGGATCCCTAATATCCTTTCTGCGATTGCGTGCCGCAATTAAATGGTATTTGGAGACTCGAAGATACACGCCCAATTATTTACAAACAGTGAGGATGGGGTTTCATTTACGAGGTGGAAAAATAAATCTTTAATAAATGTACATGAAATTACTTATTAACTAAGCCCACCCATTAATAAAACGAGTTAAATAAGCGAATTCCTAACAGAACAACTCTTAAGTAAATTCGTTTGAAACTATTACAAAATAAAACAAATAAATGGATACATTGTTCCGACTGTTCTCTGTTTAAAGAATATTTTTTAAGTACCCGCCATCTTGGCTTCACTGTACTTGCACTTTCTCAGCCAAAAAAAAAAAAAGAGCCCGCCAAGTGCGACTGACAGAAGTGGGAACTCAACCCTTTCGAAACTTCCGCTCAAACGCACGCAGTCCAAAATGATAGGTTCGTCAATTGGAGACGCAGTCGAATTAAATATTACCATTCGAAGAGTTGTTAACGAACTTATTAGGGAGCAAGGGGAGTGCCGGATAACTATATACATATATCCATCTGGGCATTCGTGTATCTGGCCAACAGCAAGCCAACCGATATACTCGTACATGTGCTCCCGTGGAATAGATAGGTATAGACTTCTCGAGTACATTAAATAATTGCCTTATGAGTGCGGTGGGCGGGGGAAGGGGTTGAAAAAGGGGGCGGACTGGGCTGCGGGGGGGTGTGGCTTCGGTTCGGGCTATGTCATGTGGCTGGGCCAACCGGCTAATTGAGCAATTAGTGGCTAAAAAGGCAACAATTGAGGCCATTTGCTGGGAAACCTGCGGGGAATTCGTAATGACTGCAAATGAATGGGAGAAGCCTTTTCGAGCGCACCTTAAAGGTCGAGAAGCTTTGCTCGCAACCCGGTAGCATTAATAAATTATTTTTGTAAGTTTATCAAGCTACTAAAGTTCCTAAAGCTCCTTTCCAATTGGAATTGGAGAACTTAGCATTCAAATTAGGAAAGGAGACTCATAAAAAATGATACAAATTCCATCCAAAAATGAGAAATAAACTAATGATGCAGTTTGATATATATTTCAATAAGGTATACCATATATAGATCGGATAAAAATTAGGAAATTTATGGCTTTAGAAGTGCTGGAATTTGGTAACTTTTCTAAAAACCCATTTTTTGAATATTCGGAAATGGGGACCTCCTTAGCATCCAAAAGCCAAACATTCAGCAATTTGAGTTCGATTTGCAAGTAGCATGTCTGTAAAAGATTACGATTTGATGCTCTAACAATTTGCCAGCTATGAATTGCATTCCTCGACGCAGAACTGTTTGGATAAATTATGATATAGGGAGGGGCACGCGACCGCTGCGCTGTGAAAAATAGAAACCGCAGGATAACAAATGCAATTTGCTTAAATGTTATTGCAGCCACAAAACAACAACACGACATTTGTAATCAAAGGTCACAGAAGGAATATAGACGAAGGGAATGAGCGTCGGAATCGCGTCGACAGTTAATGAGATTAAAACACCCAGCGGGTATCCTTGGCTCGGTCGGTTATCCTGGCCCAGCGGGATATAACCAAATTGCGCAGTGCCAGACCAAATTGAGAAGTCAATGGAGGGAGTGTAAGTGTGGTGCTGAAGGAAGAGGAATGCCGAGGAAGCCGAGGAAAAGTCAAAGGAACTCGAAGGGAAATAGGGAATGCAAGGAATTTGAGAGGAGAGCGCTGCATAAATCACTGCCATAAATTAGTTGGCTTTTAATTACGATTATTATGCTGATAATAGCGCGCATTTAACGCGCGATAAACATAAATAATTGTGTCAAATGCAAACAGATGTCGAAAGAAGATGACAACGAAGCTGCTCCCAACAACTTCAACAACTCCAAATCACGGAGACTCCATTCAGCCAAAGACTAAAGATTGAAATGATGTAGAAAGGTGTTATGAACTCCAAGAGTTTCCTGTAATATTCTGCGTTAATATAAATGGCACAAAATCTTTCAAAATAAATAACTTTAAATATTTTACCTATTTAATATCCAACATTCATATTAACATCAAACAAAATTACTATTGGATTTGTATTTTGTTTCTTGTGGACATATTTCTTTCTTGCTTTTATATTTGTTTAATAAAACCTGTGCATACCCCATTTAATTTACAGGGTATGCAAATATTTTCTCTGCGCGTCTCATTTTTTTAGTTAATGAAAACAATGTGTGAACAAGATTTGTGAACGGGGGCCGTTGTGGGCGTGGCAACCATTAAAAGATTCCTGGGATGCCTTTGGCAACTCGACGTTGACACTTTCTTGTGGATTGGGGATTGGGCACTGGAGTTTTGGGCTTGGGGTTTTCAGTAATGAGAGTGAAGCCGAGTGGGGATCGCGTTTCTGGCGCCTAACTCCGCTCAAATGTGTGAAAATCATATTTTAATTAAAGTTCGCTGCTAATGATTTTGTCAGCGCCGCAAAGTCGCTCGTTTATCATCGTCTCGTTCCTTCTGGTTCTCCACTCAACTGCAGATCCACCTAGCCATCTCTCTGATTTATTTAGTTTTATTCTCGGCTCCTTTCTCACAATATATACATCCGAAGGTTTATGTACATACATATATTTACAGCCAGCCCATGTCCTTTGCAAGCCGATGCCAAACGCATGTCCTTCCCTTTGTTTTATGTCGCTGGCTATCTCTTTTTTCACACCGCCCCTCTCCTTTCCTTTACTTTTCGAAAGCAGTGTGTTTGTATTTTTCATTATTTTAATTTACAACTTGCTCTGGCGCTCTTTTGAAATCGGAATCCTGCAGGGGGAGTGGGTGAGGAGCCCAGCGGGATGCGACTACCATGTGACACACAATACCCAGAAAACAGAAGTCAAGGATTCCGAGGAGAGCGAGTTGCCTCATTTGAATTTACCGCACTTGAGGGTCCTTCGAGGAACACTCGCTCTTAAACAAAGTTTGATTTATGCAACCAATGATTTAGTAACACAAACCATTTGTGCACTTTTTAGAAGATATTAAATTAAATACGAGTACTACATTTTTGATGTAAATTTACTACAGATTTGTGAAGAGGAAACTAGTTGTTTTTAGCTCGCGTTTAAATGAGAATCATAACAACAAAAACCTTTTTTAAATAATATTAAAAATAGAACTGTATACTTTTGTATACTTATATGCATTAATTTTTTTATATTCCTTATGGTAATGGAAAACAAACATTTAACAGCATTTTAACCACTTTTATCTAAGCCACAGTTGTGTGTACAATCCAGTATTGTATCTATTGTTAATCTTTTTAGGTTTTTCCAACGCTTAAAGTGAGCATCGCAGGGCTTTCCATTGATTCGCCCTAATGTAGAGCCCTCGTGGCAGCTTCTTCCATCTCGGCCAGGTCCTTATTCATTTGAATCTTGAATTCATTGCCCTGGCAAATTGTTTTCTGCCCCCCGGGCGACCACACCCCCACCGAGGATGTCAAAACAGTGGCGGGGAAAAATAACTGCGCAGCTTAATCCACTCCAGGATCAGGACAACGGGGATGATGGCAACAATCTGCACCCACTTGACGGGCAATCTGTTCCAGAGGATTGCGGGAATTGCGAGGGTGCCACGGTCCACGGTAATAAAATTTAAATCACCCACACACATCAGGACATTTAAGGGGTCGACCTTTTAACCCCCCCAACCCATCCATTCCATTCCGTCGAGATTGAGAGCGTTAAAAGTCGTTAACGACCAGCAGAATTGGCATGAGATGAAGGGCAGGAAGTCCAGCCAAGCATCCCCAAATAAAAATCCTGGGCGAAGCCACCCTCAATCAGATAAACATATTTAACGCTTATTGCAGATACAAAGATTGATTTACCAAATTGATTTGGACCAACCTCCCCACATCCCAGCATTCACCCGCTTAAATGATTCGTAATCGGAGCGTTTTGTTGTACATTTATTTTGAATGAAATTTAAATAGTTTATTCGTATTTTAAATAATTAATTTACATAGACAAAAAAAAGTAATCGAAGATGATAAATTGCTGATGCGGCCTACGTTTTTCGGAGGACTGGCCAAAGTCCTCTTTGCATCCGTGCTGTTTGTGTGTGTTTTGTGTATGTGTGTGTGTGTTTGTGTTCGGGTTTCTGTGTGTGTGTGTGTGTGTGTGAGTGTGCTAAGTATCTAAGTATCTGCTCTAAGCCTAGTTCAAATAAAACAACAAAAAACACATTTAGTTTAGGTTTAGCTTGGGTTCTAGTTGGGTCGATTAAAGCACTAGCGTCTAAGATATCCTCGATCGTCTTGGTTTAAATGGGATTAGCAAAAATAAATGAGGGACATACGCTAATTTACAAGGGCTAGAGTGTAAATCCCCCTTCCCCCTGCTCATCGTTCTTTTCGTTTCTTTTTTTTTTTTTGTTTTCATTTACAATTTTGGTTCGCTCACACTTCATAATTGGACTAGAAATATATTTATGATGTTTTTCCCCCGCTCAATATCCATACATATACTTTATTAATATATATTTAGGTTTCTCCATTTAGAATTGCATAATTGTTTATCCTTTCATTTTCATTTTCATTATCATTGTTTTTTCTTTTCTCGTTTTTGTGGTGCTCGAAGCTTGTCTCTTGGTTAATGTCGTTTATATATATATTTATATATGTACGTATGCTTATGAGCTATGAAAAAATTACATATCCATAGGGCTAGTCAAAAAAAAAGTCGATTAAAAAAAAACGTTCCTCGCATCTGGGGGACAACTAGATATTCTAGAAATGGCTTAGACTACAAATAGGCTATAAGCAATATATATATATATATATATTTATTATTTTAGTGCTGGGATTAGCGCGATAGACACATAGATCGGATTTGCATTTGTTTTTTGTTGTTCAATATGTACAGACGACATCTGCTGGCTATATGTACAACCGCAGGATCAAAGTGATATATATATATATATACTATATAATATTGTGTGTTTTTTATGGTTTATTCAGGTGGTGGGAGCCCTTTCTAGTTGGTAAACAGGAAGGGTCCCAGCGATCCTCAAACCATCGGTGGCTTTATGTCCACCAGGGAGCTGGGGTCCAGACCCGGCGACCCACCGGTGGCCAGGTGGTGCGAGTGGTGCGCATGGTGGTGCAGGTGATGGGCATGTGGATGCTGTTGCTGCTGCTGTCCGAATTGCTGATGATGTTGCTGCTGTTGCTGGTGTTGCTGTTGCTGGTGGTGTTGCTGTTGCTGCTGCTGGTGGTGTTGCTGCTGTTGCTGCTGCTGGTGGTGCTGCTGCTGCTGCTGCTGGTGGAGCATCACCGGCGAACCGCCCGCGGCGACCATTTGGTGCGGCGTGGCCAGGTGCAGACCGCCGCCCAGCAGGCTGCTGGGCGTGCCATTGGCATTGTGGCCGTGCAGCGAGGTCGGGGTGCCGGGATGGCTGCCAGAGCCGGAGCCCGCAACGGAAACGGAAACGGAACCGGCCAGCGAGCCGCCGCCGCCAACGGTTACGGAGCCACCGCCACTCGAGCCGCCCGAATTCGAATTGCCATTCGATCCCCCATTACCAGTGGCTATGGCGCCCGCAACCGCCAGCGAAAGCGCTGATACCGCTCCCCCTCCCGCTCCCGTTACCGTGCCGCCGGATCCGGATCCACCGCTCGATGTGCCATTGCTACCGTTATTGTTACCGCTATTGCCACCGCCGCCGCCCCCATTATTTTGATTACCCCCAACGGCAGTGGCGCCACCCCCGCCGCCGCCGACCGCGCCCGTCTGTTGCTGCTGCTGCTGCTGCTGCTGCTGCTGTTGCTGCTGCTGCTGCTGCTGCTGCTGCTGGCCACTGGCCACGCCGCCCAGACCGTTGGACTCACTGGACTGGTTGGCAGCCTCCTCCGAGTCGCTGCACGACTCCGAGGAGCCCTTCTTCATGCCATGGTGGCCATGGCCATGGCCATGGCCGTGGTGGCCATGGCCATTCGCCTGATGGCCGCCGGCGGTGCCATTGTGCGTCTTCACGTGCTTGGCCAAATGGTCGCTGCGCATAAAGCGCTTGTTGCACACGGGGCAAGCAAAGCGCTTCTCGCCGGTGTGCGTCCGCAAGTGGCGCTGCAGTTCGTCGGAGCGCGTGAAGCGCTTGCCGCAGAACAGCCAGTTGCAAACGAAGGGACGCTCGCCGGTGTGCCACCGCAGGTGAGCCTTCAGGTGCGACGTCTTCCCGTAGACCTTGCCACACCCTGGTATGTGGCACGAGTGGATGTTCTTCTTGCGCAGATGGACGCCAGCCGGTCCCAGGCGCTCCGCCTCCTGGCAGTTGGGGCAATCGCAGGTGGCCCGTCCCGCGTACCGTCGCTGCGAGCGCGGCGATGGCGTTGACGGTGAGCCGCCCTGTGGCGACCCGCCCGCTGCCGCCGCCGCCGTCACTGCCGCTGCCGCTGCCGCTGAGGGTGAGCTGTGCGGCAGGGAGAATCCGCCCATGCCGACGCCCACGCCCACACCGACGCCAACGCCGACGCCGACGCCCTGGCCGGGCAGCATGCTCTTGTAGGTGTCCTGCAGGAGGTGCTGGCCCGATCCCAGGAGCGAGTGGCTCAGCGCCGAGCTGTAGTTCTCGCTCGCGTAGTTGGCCATGGTGGAGTGCATCCCAGCACCGCCCATGTCCAGCCAGGAGCCGGCGGCACTGTGCATGTCCCACCAGCCGGAATTGACGCTCGCCGCCGCCGCCGCCTCCTTGTGGGTCACCGCATTGAAGGGCCAGTCGTACGGGTGGCGGGAGTAGACGCCACCGAAGGCGGCAGCGCCGGCCTCCACCTTGCCAAGGAGGCCCTGGTGCATGTGATGGTTGTCCATGTTCGAGGTGGAGGTGTTCGGGAAGTAGAGATCGCCGCCGTACGCAGCTGCCACCGCCGATGCCGAGGAGGAGGACTGCGAACCGGAGGCGGAGGAGGAGGAGCCGCCCGACGAGGAGGAGGTGGCGGCTCCCCCGCCGCCCACCGCCGCGCAGGAGGAGGCCAGGGGGCGACTGTAAGGATAGATGCTGAAATTACTCGCGAGTCGTATAGGGCCATTTATGCTGATGCGGCTGTCCGCGCACAGCGATCCCCAGCGGATGGTGCGGCCGGGTCGAGGGTCGTGGTGGTGCAAAGTGGGTGGATCAGTGGGCCAGTGGGATCAGTTAGGTGGCTGCTATTGCTATATTCCCTTCACGAACCAACCCTACTAACTTCCCAGTTGGGTAGCCAAATTTTCAGTATACAATATATCCCAATTTATTGATCACTATTTAAAATATTTTCTTTAAGTCTTCATTTCTATTTTTCTGCTATCTTGATAATTTCCAAAGAATAATAATTCATTTGCTAATCGAAGTATTTTTTAATTATGCCATTACACTTTAAATATTGTGTATTTTGAAAAGACATTTTACTAGTTAAACTCCAAAGTATCTTCTTAGTTCCTTGATAACTAAATCCACTTTAAGTTAAGCATTTGCTAAATCTCTGATAGTTTTTTGATGAGCAATAACTCTAAAACAATTGTAAGATTGTGCTCTTCTAATTGATACTATGTAAATATTTTATCTCTCGAATTTCCCAATCCACCCACTTCCCCTCGCCCCAGCCGCAATCCTTTGAAGGACCGCTGTGCGCCGCCTGTCTGCTTACCTAGCTGTGATGTTCACCATGGTGCTGGCGCTGGAGGAGAGGCTCCTCGATCCCCCTCCGCTGGAGCCGCTGGAGCTCGACGAGCTGGCCGCTGAGATGGCGCAGGGCGAGTGCTGGCCACCGCCGCCGCCTCCGCCGCCGGAGGAGCCGCTGGAACCCGCTGCCGGGGAATTGGGGCTCTTCTTCCACGGATGGAAGCCCTTGCCCACAGCGGCATCGGCCAGCGGGGGCGGGGATTTGTTGGAGAGCTTGTTGCACTGGGCGGCCAGCATGGCCAGCGGGGTTCCCCTCAGGCTGGGATGGTCCTGGAAGGATCAGATGGACACGAAACCAAATTAAAGAAACGAACAAATAAGGAAAGTACATTTTAATATTTTAATATTTCATTAAGGTTTTCTTTTATATAAACTATCATTATTAATTCGCAATTATGTTTTATAAACACTTAAAATAGACACAAATAACTAATGAGCATGGGATTTAAAAAATACCTACAAATATTAAAAATATATTTTTTATTTATTTGTTTCCTTTCTTTTATAAACCATTTAATGTTTATTTAATCTACTGTAGTTATAAGCTTTTAAAAATAATACCCAAGAGAAATGCACTTATTTAACATTCTCTTCAACATATTCACCAAGTTGAATCCACCCTCCTACATTTTCTAGTAAATATTTCCCATGGGAATGCCTGCATTTCTTAATTAACAGCCGTTCGCGCGAATTTGCGAAATTACTTAAATGCGAATTAGTCGAGCTCAATTTCGCTTCCTGCCCGATTTTGCTTTGTTTTTCGGCCAACGGTTTCTAACGTCTGCTGATGGAGGGCAAAAGAGGCAGAAGCGGGCAGGCTGAGGGCCAAAAAGCGAGAAGCAACCCACAAAATTAATTCGCCACGTAAATCAAAACTGAAATTCCCTTTTAGCGCTGCGAATGAACCGCGTTTTTACGGTCTCTGGCGTTTTGGGGATACGCTTTGTGGCAAAAAGGGTTAAGTGGACTAAGAAACGATTCTAAAAAACATAAAAAAAAATTATTTTAAAATTACAAAAATATAAACGCATTCGATATTATAAAATATAAAAATGGTTATGTGTTTTAAACAGAAAATATGAACGTTTAGATTGAATAATCCTACGATAATATTTTTTTCAAAAGTATCATACTGACTCTCTTATCACTAATTTAATCGGTAATGATTTATTGGATCTATCACCATTATCTGTTTGATATAATTCAAGTGGCTATTTGACAGCCGAATTTATTAAATCGTTAAGCCAGTGTATTCCTCATTCGACCTCAAGGAGATCCTTGGTTTCCCACAGACATTTATAATCGAGAGCTCCGTTTTTGGGAGGAAGTCATTAAAAGTCGGCTCGGTTCGGGGATTCCTTATTGTTACGGCCTTGGCCAAAACTAATTTTCAATTCCGCTTTTTGTCTAGCGGCGCGACTCCGGCACTTGTTTTCTCCTTTTCTCACTCACTCGAAATTGCTGCCTGATTGACGAAGGTCGAGGATTTCTCTGAGGAGGAGGAGAACGGGCGAAGGATTCTCCAATCTGTGGTCTCTGATCCTCGTCAAACACATTTCATTCCTGCCAGCTGCTTGAGTTCAGTTTTGCCGCTGCAAACAACTTGGTAAAACCAACCAACAGTCACGGCATCAACAACAACAGCAACAACAACATGCCAGAATTGTCAACAACAAGTTGAACAACTTTGGCAATACGGTAAAAGTTGTTCAATCAAGCAGCGATATACACTGATCCGAAATATAATCTGCCATTAATCGATTAACTGGGGGAAATGAGTCAATTCGAATTTTCCTCGAAAGTTAATGGGAGTCGCACTTGTATATTATTAGTTTCTATTCACGCAAGTAATACTACCATTTTTGTAGGATTTTTATACCTAAAAAAACTTTGAATATTATATTAGAAACAGAAGATTCTTTCTCTTATGACTGAATAATTTCATTGATAAGAAGTTTGAAGTGCTTCTCAGTTTTTTTCCATCTGTCTGGTTGAATCCTTTTCTAGTTCAATATAGTTTTCTCCCACCAATTATTTGTCTGAGTGCATTGTGGCCATTGCCCAGTAGTCGTGGCCTCGTCGAGTTGTCCAAAAAAATTAAGTTAATAGTTTACTGACTGCACTCGACTCGGTCGATTTACAGTTGTTTAGTTTCGAGCTTTTACCGTTTCACTGGCGATTTTGGGAGGGGGTGGTGCAGTGGTTCACCGATGCTAGGATGCTGGGGTGGTGCAGTGGTGGTGCAGAGGTGGTTCCGTGGTGCGGCAGCAATGTGGATTGCTTTGGCAACCGGCAATCAGGCTGAAATCGGGATCAGAGAGCCTCCGCGGAAGCTGCTATTTCGGCCAGTAATTGGCCACTCCAGAAATTGAGAGGGAGGCGGCTGGGGAATCCCCCCTTTCCAACCTCCCACCTCTCCATGCAAACACATACAAACAGATACATATATATGTATTCGTATAGTCGTATATATCATTTCCTTAGTTTCTGTGGCACGTTTATGTCGCTGCCGCTTTTTTCAATTGCAAGTCCGCGCATCTCCTTCATCGGACAGGTGCTTTGGCAGCCTAATGACATCACCCATTCAAATCGTGAGCTCCCTGGACCTGGATATCCAGCCACCGAACTACTTTGGCCTCTTGGCAGCACAAAAAAATAAAAAAAAAAAAGGAAAACAGAAAACCCTGAGTCAAAGCCCAAACGAAACGAAGCCAAGCCGAAAAAAGCACACACTTAATTGGAGCAATTTCAACGTCGTGCAACTGCGCGTATGAGTAATGGCTGTTGTGCCAGTGTGTGTGTGTGTGTACGGTATGTGTGTGTGTTGGTTGGATAAATTATACAAAATGATATCGGGGCAGGCAAGTCAGTCAGTTAGTTAGTCAGTTGGTCAGCTAGTCAGTGAGGAGAGTCTGGGGCAAATTAAAACGCAACTCGATTTGATTAATCGATCAGACTTTTGATTGGCGGCGCATAAAGTGGCTTCAAAAAAAAGGTAGAGAATTAATTTCGAAAAAATGCTACAGTAAATTAAATGATTTTTTATATTTGTACTAACTTGTAAAAATATAAAAAGGAGTGCAGTTAATAAAGTTATAAAACGCTTATTAATTGAAATCAATCTCTGATTATCTTAACCTGATTTAAATCTTATCTTGCAACATTTCTTCAACCTTTTCACATTTTTTTTGTTGGCCACCTTAGGAGGTCTTGCAGTTGGCCTAATTAAACCGGTCGAATGTCATTGAAAACGGAATCGGGAATCTCTGTTAAGCCGACAAAAAAAAAAAAACGAGGAAAGGGGATATCTTCAAAAGGCGCGAGCTAAACAAATTTGGTCAACGCAGCAGGTGATGTCCCCGGGGGGTGGGGGAAGTTAAAGAAAAAAAGGAGGGGAAGGGGGAGACAAACATATATACCAGTGACCAAATCTCTTTTTCCCGTTCCCAAACTCAGGGACTCAGATTCCGATTCGGATTTGGATTCGGATTCCCCCTGCAGAATTCACAGCGGGCGCTATCAGCAAATGGCGCTGCAGGTTCCTCACCTTTTATCTACCTCAGCTCCCGTCTGCCATCTCCTTCCCACCTGCTATACCCCTCTCTTTCACACCCATCTCCCTTTCTCAGTTCCTCTGATACAGAGCGGCAACAAGTTGGGCACATCAATCGGAGGCGGTGTCATAATTTTCACAGCAGGTGTCGTCGCTAATGATTTACAATGAGCCAGGGAAAAAAAAAAACGGAAAGAATCGGAGAGTCCAAAGAATCGGGAAAAAGAGATGGCACTATTGCAATAGAAAGAGATGCACTTAGCGGGTTGCATCGCCGTGTCGGCAAACAACAATAAAAATGTGAAAAATCTAAATTCGTTGTGGTCGACGTCGCTCTCCGTTTGAAGTCGTCGATTCCGAAGACCAATTCATTATTCATCAGTTTGCATTGTATATATTTGTATATATGCACGTATATATAGCATAGTATAGGGTCCGATTCACGGGTGGGGCGTTGCAGTGGCTAATTTGCCGCTGGGATGGATGGGTTTCTTTTTTTTTTTTGTGGTTGTTGTTATTTTTTTTTTTTTTTTGGTTTCTTTCCTGTTTTTGTTGACCGAAGAGGAGGGTTCGGCGACTGGCGCCAAGTGGCGCCCCCTAGGGTGTCCGAGTGCCAAACAAATTGTTAGCCATTGTGATCCGATTCGATTTGGAGTCGGTGGATAAAAGCGGTCCGATATATCCGTCCCCGATCTGCATTCCTAATTGCTGATCTAGTTCGGGTGGGAAGTTATTGGGAATGGGGATTGTATCGGTCATTTATATTATATATTTCTATGTTTACTAATATAAGTTAGGGTATATTTTTACCGTTCTGTGTTAAATTTTCTTCATAAAATCATGAACAGAAATACATATTACTCAGAAGGAGTCAACATCCTGTTTTAAAGTTCTTTGTAATGCAATGATAATTTTTGAACACTTTATGTATTAAGATTAATAAATACTACAGTATAATATAGTTAGAAAACTATGAATTTCAGCATCCAACAAAATAGACTTCCAGTCATTTCCAATTATCGCCGCCATTTACACTCCTGATGAGTTTTCTCCCCATAAAAAAAAGGAAACCCCCGTAAAAATCCACTATCGAAGCCGACAATTATCGCCATCCATCAACGGAAATCAATCTCAGCTAATCCGGCGGACCGGCTAATCCCCAAACTTTGTGGCACAGTGTGTGAAAGGCAACAAGAAGCCGCTCCTCATCAGGGTAAAATCCCCAATCCATGCCATATACCATCATCTCCTTCCTCAAAAGCAAAAAAACCATTCGAAAAATTTTTAACTGCAGGAGAAAAAAAGTCGAAAACTCCGGCGCCAAAATGCAAATAAAACAACAAACGCTGGAGAAACATAAAACGGCTGAGCGACTATATAAAAGGAACTTTAAATTGCGGCCTGGCGAAGTGAAGAGGGAGCTACCGAATACGCTGAAGAATCGCCGGAGAATCGCTAAAGAATCGTTGGAGAATCCAAGGAGCAACGGCGATGCAGATACAATTTTCATAGGCAATTAAAAAAAGTTCATTGGTTTTGATTTTATTTTCGGCTGCAGCTCCGCCATTCAGAAGCCAAAGGCTCGAGGCACTCGACTTTCCGACTACCCGACTTCTTGGCCAACTAAAAGCATGAAAGAGGTGGCCAAAACCAAAGCCAAAACCAGATCCAGACCATCCCCACCAGCAGGCAGACCCTCATCCTTCCATTAGCATGT